TCATTCAGGCATTTTGTCGAACAGTTTGTGTGCCATGAAATTTCCGCCCACGTTGTGTATTTCTGTAATTTGTTTGAGAAAAAAAAAAGTATATAATCGGCCGAGAAAGTAGTAAGGGTGTGTACTTGTTGTTGTGGCGACTCTGTGGTGGTTATAGTATGATTTGATCTGAACTTCTGATATAACAGTATTTGGCAAAAAATATGGAGAATTTTTTGTGCTCTCTTTTGTTGAAAAGTTCTTGTAACGATATTAAAGTGATTGACAAAAAGGAATTGTGTAATAAATTACTCCCACAGGCCACAATGGAGAAAATACAATTTTTCTATTTTATTGACAAAGAATTGTTCAATTCACAATTAAATTACTTTGTCACAATATATAATTTTACACATTTTTTATCCTTGTTTTACTACCGTTAAGTTTTAAGCAAATTTTGAGAAATACAACCAATACTCTATATTTGATAATTTATATTTAGTTTATATTTGAGGATTTATATACGAAAGATCAATCCAATAGGTATGATCCATAGGTGTCGCCTTACCGATAGTTGAAACTCAATCGGGAGATGTTTCCGTTAAATTACATATCAATGCTCTTGTTGGTATTTGTGGCCCAAATGATATGTTTATTGATGGCCCAAATATTTGTCAATTCTTAGGCATGAATCATGATCGCAGTTTTTGTAGCCCACTTGATCTATGTGATCTTGGTCGTTCGTAGTAAAGTGACCCGATTTTGCCCGTTCGTTGTCCTTTTTAAATACCTGGTCAACTCTTGTATGGCAGCCCTAAGGTTCAAAATCTCTCCCACACAGCCATCTCCTTCGCAACCTTAAAAAAATCCCATCCGAACTCTCTATTCTTCTATCTGGCTCTTGCTCTCCTTTCGACTTTGTGTCTAGTGATCCTACCTTCTCTTATCTTATGATATCTTTGTGATAATGAGATTGTGAGTGTATTGGGAATCTTCTCTTGCCAACCGAGTCTTTGTGAGAGGGGATATTGGAGATTTCGTGTATAAGCCTGTTTTCGAGCCGATTTTTGTGCGATGGACAGCTGTTTTCGTGTACGGGCTCATTTTGTAATTTATATTTTGTTACAGTAATCATTGTCCATTAGTGTGCAACTTTGTAATTTATATTTTGTTACAGTAATCATTGTCCATTAGTGTGCAACGAAATTATTATTTAAAGAATTACTCCATGTTAGTTGATAAAAATTATAAACAAAAAAATCAACTTTTCATTATAGGAGGGTTATTAAACAAATCGAAAAACATTTTGAATTTCATTTGCAATTTTTCAATTACTGATAAATTTCAATTTCATAAAGAAGGTTGGATGACACGAGATTTCAAATCTTTTGCGTATTCTCAAGCATATGCAGTTCAAATAAGAAGAGATCAGCTTCTTAACGAAAATACAGTATCTTTATTACTGAATTTACAGTTCAAATAAAATGAGATCAGATTCTTAACGAAAATACAGTGTCTTTATTGCTGAATTTATGAATTTTAGCACGAAGATGATCAAACAGACTTTTGACAGTCTTTTTAACAGCTTTTTATATATTTCTGTTAAAAATTTGTTTCCTACCATATATATTTAAAAAAAAAAAAATACAACTCATCGACACATTTAACTATTAAGACACGCCTATTTTTGCTTCCTTTCCACAAAGGAACACTTCTTCTTCTTCCCCGCCCCACCACCAACCAGCAACATCTCTCAACAATGGAAGCTCAAAAAATTCCGCCAAATCACCAAACCCTAATCCATCCGAAGAAGCCCAGATCCACGCACCGGATCAAAGCCCTCGACCTCCCGCCGGAAATCACCATGGAAATCCTCCTGCGCCTCCCCGTCAAATCCCTCCTCAGATTCAGGTCCGTCTCCAAATCATGGCTCGCCCTCATCTCCAGCTCCCAATTCATCAAATCCCACCTCGGAATCTCGTCCAGCAGCCCAATTATGGCCAACCACCGCCTGATGCTCACGATCTGCAACCCTAATTTCGACCTGAAGCAGTGTTCGATCAAATCCGTGTTCTTCGACGCACTCACAGCTGCGAGCAACATCGAGTACCCGAAGGACGACCCGTACAGCGCAGTTTGGGTCGTCGGGTCCGTCAACGGCTTGGTCTGCCTCGCCATGGACGAGAAGGACATGTTTCTATGGAACCCGGCCACCAGAGGACACAGAAAACTCCCCCCCGTCGCCATTAAACTGAGGCAGGGGTTTTACTACATATGGGGCTTCGGCCGTGATGAAGCAGACGACGATTACAAGGTCGTGGGCATTTTCTGCGAGTTTGGAAATGGCGGCCTGCACAAGTCTACTGTCATGATCTACAGTTTGAAGGCCAATTCGTGGAAAATGATTGAGGATTTCAAAGGAGGTATCCCTCTTGACGACACCGGAAAATTCGCCGGCGGGAAGCTTCATTTTCCGGCCACACCTGGGCTCGGTGACCGGAGATGGGACATTGTGTCTCTCGACTTGCAGAACGAGGCTTATGGGACTGTTCGGCAGCCGGAGTACAGAGATGGAGGTATGGGTTCTTCTTTAGGGGTTTTGGGAGATTGCCTCTGTGTAGTTTGCGACTTTGAGAAGGTTCGTACAGACGTGTGGGTTTTGAGGGAGTATGGGAATGAAGATTCTTGGTGTAAAGTTGTCACGATTCCTTACGTTGAGGACCCGAGAAATTTCTTGCATACGAAGCCATTGACTGTATTGCCGAGTGGCGAAGTTCTTTTGGCCGTGGGTTTGAATCTTGTGGTTTATGACCCTAAAGCTAATTGTTTCAGGCGGCCAGGGATGAGTAACGTGGGTTTGTTCCTCGAGGTGGATGTTTATGTCGAGAGTTTGGTTCCAGTTTAAAAAGTGGTGTAAGGTGAGCTTGTTTTTGAAATAAGTTCTTTCTTTTATGTATGTGTTTTTTGTATAATGTAGTAAATTTGTAGTCTTTACCATTTGAATTGTTTGGGTTAAACTGGACTTTGGTCTCTGTCATGTGTGTGTACAGTACAAGTATGACTCCGATTTTCTTCATTTCATATGAAAATCCGTGACACAGGATTGATTAGCTGTTTAGGAGAAATGAAATCGAGTGCAAAGAATCCAAAATGGTATGATGTTCAAAGTTAAGCACACAAATGTGTTGACAGTTATAGAAGCTTTGTACTTATGTGGAAATCTTATCGTGCTTTGGAGATATTTGTGTTCTTACTAAGATGGGTTGCAGCAGAGAAGTAGAACAATAGTTTGTTTGATTTCTTCGTATAGTTTCAATTGAGGCATTATAATTCTCGCAAAAAGAAACATTCGGTTACTTTCTTGCCACACGCAATAATCGTGTTAGAAGTATTGATCAAATTTGTCATTTTGTCACGGTTAGATTTGTTACTTGAAGTGGGTTTTGTGTCGACAGGTATTGTCCAAGGCCACAAAACCAAATGCGAGAGAGCAAATATCATGCTACTCGATCAATCGGAAAGCTACTGTTGTGTTATTGCTGTGTTAAAATAATGTTGAATTAAGTTGTAAAGATGTGTAAAAATCGATGGAGCAAAAGCTGTTTGTTGCTGTAAAGAGATGTATTTGCTGCTGCCCAGAAGCCATGTGCCAGTTTGGAAGGCTTAAAGAATGAATGGTACTGCACATTCCCGTTCTTTATAACAATTTTGTATAGATTATGCAAGAAATTTAATTGTTGTATAAGTAACTTTTAAATAGAGTTGAATAAACCTTAAATATCTAATTTTTAAGTGCAATTTGAAAATTCTTATTCTATGAATTAATATAATTGCATGTTTAGGATTTATTCAATCCCACCATTTCAAATTTAAAGGAAACTCTTAAGTTTAAATAGATTAAACCTCTTTAAAGAAATTAGCTCAAAATATTTACAAGTCTTACATAAAATGCTCAAACATAAAAATTTACCTAGCGAATTAGAAAAGGTACAAAAGTGAACATAAAGATAAAATAACTAGTTAAATTTATCTTGTAAAAGGTTGAATATTAATCATTTTTTGGGGTAATTAAACCCCAATGGTACAAAATTTGTACTATAAAGTCAAAACTTGGTAATTTTACACTTCCCTTAACCCAAAAAAAAAAAATATCGCGCAACCGAAATTTTTATTCACAAATCGTCCATTGGGTGCAAATGTATACTACTTAACCTGCAAACGAATAAAATAAAAATAATAAACACTGTGTTTGCTGTATGGGTAGACCTAACAATGCCTAACCGTAAGGCAAATGATATTTTTATGCATATTTCCATATCCGAATGTCATACTTTTGAAAACAATGTAAACAAAAGGATGACATTTCACGGTACAATTACTTCTACTTCTGTTCAAAATGTACGATGGCTTGACCCGCCTAACCTTTGGACTGCCTCACCCTAGAATTTGTGAAAAAACAAAAGAAAACTGCTCTAAATCACTTGTGACTGCTATATGCTTACTTAAAAGTGTAAATAAAGCATAGTTAAGTTCATAAGATTTAATAAAATAATTTATTCAGTCAGATTTACTCTCCTACTATGTACCGTTCATCTTCACAACCTTCGGCAGTGAAGAAAGTTTCATTTTCTAATCCTCGTGCTCATCTTCATCCTCAGAATCTGAAGAAAGAAAAAAAAAAGTCAAGGGATATAGCTATGGCAAAACCAATAATATTCATTATTATTATATTTTTCAAATTCCAAATTTGTTTCATTTTGCTGTGATTCAAATGGAACAAGGGGAAAAAAAAATAACAGGAGATAAATATTCTGTTCAAAATGATAATAATGGTAATGATAATAAGCAATTGATATCAGTGGCTTTCGAATTTCACTTACCGGACCTAACATCTTCACTGACATGCCCTCTTGCTTGGATTTGCTTGACAAGCATTCGGTACATCAAAACCCACCAATATACATGGAGAACGAGTAACGAGAAAAGAAGGAAATTGAAAACGTAGTAATAGATTGGTCCATCGATTTTGTGTTTCTCCTTATCCAAGTACTGAATAACTTCATAACTGCATTAACAAATTATAACAGAAATTTTGTACTTATCGATACTATATATAAAATAAAACAATATATTTGGCATAAATTGCATGTAGTAGTAATCTCATGCATAACTCTCAGTCCACACAAAGCAAAGCCTTATTTGTTGTCGTTTTCTTTTAAAGCTTTTATTTTTATTTTGACAAAAAAAAAGGGGAGCCCGTAACTACTCGGAGCATAAAATGCATAAAGAAATGGATATATA